AGTCGATGCCTTCATTAAGGATGTGAATTGTTTTTGTCATGAGAACATCATTATTTATATTCAAGAAAAGTCCTCCCCAGCCTACTGTCACTAAAGGTATAGGTCTTTTGGACTCGGCGACATACTGAACTGACACAAACTAGAGCTCATAATTGTGAACTAATTCAATCACTTCCTAATTATTAACATTTGTAAATGAATTATTTGCATTATTATTTTGTGTTTTTTGTTTGAAATAAACAGAGAACATCCGACCTTTGGTAAGAGTAGTAGTCACAATTTTAAAATGCAGCCGACTTATTTGGGGGATATCATATTCATAAATTAGTTTCCATAAAGAACCCAGTTCGCTTTTAAGACGTTACTGTTGTGCTTAGTAATTAATTGGTTATTCTTTATTAAGCGGTCATAGTTCGCAAGTAGTTCAAATTTTTTTAGTAATTATCAAATATCTAATAAGGAACCACCTTTGTCCTAAATTTGCTACTACTTACTGCTTAGTTAATCTTGCTTCTCTATTAGTTAATAGTATTAAGTTAAATGTTAAAGTAGTAAAACCTATTACTTCCTGCATAGTTACTTGTTAACAACGGACCGCTATTCTAAAGTGTTACCGGTTTTTTTTTTGGACATGGTGCTATGATAACAGGCCTACCTTGTATTCAACATGTACCATTCCATTTTTTGACTAGGTAAAACTATGTTTTATAGCATGCCCCATGTCAATAAGTTTCTTCTCTGTACTGTGTTTTCTCCCTCCCCAATACAATGTTAATACAATACATTGGTATTTGAGACACTTTAGAGTACCACTTTAATACCATGCTATCCATGTATATTATGTATATCAAACGGTATCATAATAATGGTATGTGATGCTGGTAGGACCACAGTACTTTTTGTTGTTGTTGTTGTTATGGAGTGCAAATTACACACTGTTCTTGCTTTTGCGCGTGAGAACAAAAACGCTAAACAAACAAATCTGTTATTCACAGAAAGTCACTTTCAGTATCAGCTCTAAAACGCACTCGTCTGATAACAAATGGGTTCGCTTACCATCATATTTCCCTGCATTTTGGCCGTTTCGATCAAATTCTTCTCCTTCATTTGGTTTCTTCGGTGTGATGGATGTGCGTGTCAGTGTCGATGTCTCGGCTGGTTCCGCCCGGTCCAGTTCTTCTTTCGCAGCACCCTGTTGAGCGCTCCGAGACTAAACTGCCCCTACAGTCATTCACCCTCGGCTGTTCTAGACGTCAACGGCAGACTCCACTGTGGCTCAGGACGGTTATTTGGTGGTTTCAGAGCGGGCTGCGCGGGTGACGGATTCTATCGCGCTCCGTGAACTCGACGCGAGAGTGAGTGAAGCTGCACATGACAATCCCGCTGCTGTGAGAGGAGCACGCCTCCCCTGTTACGGGCTCTATTGCTTAACTTTACTGCTGAGGTCGTTGAAATGTCTTTGTGTGGCACTTCATTGCATATTATGAATTATGAATCGATGTCTTATAACAAAAACCCACGAAATACTAAATGAATGTCCACAGGAGACATCTATCTGTGCAGAAACTGAGGATCTTGTTTGAATGCAGTATCCTTGTTGCTGGTTGACCAGCATTTTTGTTGATGAATAATGGTTGTGCTGGTCCACAGACGTCTAAGGTGGGTTTTTTTTTCAGAAGCTGAAACCCCCCCCCCATTTACATATATCACACACTTCATTTAATTTATTTCTGAAAATAGTCTAACACAAAGCTGTAATTCATGTTCACCCTAAAATGAAACTTCTGTCATCACTGGATACACACACACACACACACACACACACACACACACACATATAT